CAGATTCCCCATACCATCTCTTATTCGCAGTGCGCCGTGCAGGTTGGAGCAGGACGAGAGAGCCCTCCATCTATTCGCTACGGATCCTGGTTTGGGGCTCCACCTAGAAACAGCCTGTCTTGCCATTCTCCGTTGTCCGCACCAACCACAGCATTTTCCCAGCCCTTCTCGAACCAGCTGCCTCGCTCCGGACCTCCTTGCGAACCAACAAGCATACCGAACCTGCCACCCTCGTCCCTCTTTGGCTGTCCTTCCACCACTATCTAACACAACCACCATCAACTATTTCTCCACCTGCTTCTTCCTCTTCCTGTAAACGTGTACTGGTTATGCTTAGTGTCAGACTCTCGATTCCAGTTCATTTTAATCACCACTGTCACTATTGGCTGACTCCCAGCCGCACTGCCTAATCCGCAGTCGACGCAATTCTGCGTGTAGAAGGCTCCTTGTTATGGAGTTCCACCGCTCCTCCTTAAAGTTCTATGAGTGTCGCATTTCCCTAGTAGCAGCTTCAACGTTCAGAAGAGCCTCTCTCTAAAGCATTTATCCTCCGCGGCGCACGAGTTGAGTGTTCCTTAGACTAGATATTTCTCGTTCGGTAAAGGTGGTGGTAGTTACCCCTTTTGACTAACTTAACTGACCTAGTGCACCTTGTTCCGTCAAGTTCTGAAAGTTATCGGCTCCTTTTTCTCGTTTCTCCAATTACTTCACAAGTTGCGGATAAGTGTAGTCTCCTCTAGCGGACCTAGTAATTGCGCCGGAATTGCTGCACCCATCTAACGCTTTTGTTAAGCAGTCATCTCTGCAGCTCAGCAGCAGCTGCAGCAGCAGCAGCAGCAGCAGAAACAGAAACAACTACGTCCTCTAGCACCATGGGCTCGATGGGCCTACCTCCCACCTCCTCCTTCTCCCGCTCCGGCTCCAACTCTCGCCGGCAAATGGACCGGAGCGTTTCGCCGTTACCTAACCGGACACGCGTCGACATGGACCCGCTCGTGGACACGCTCACGGACGAAACCGTCGACGTTGATAAGAAGCGCGAGGCCGTCGCCACCATCCGCTCGTCGCTAAAAAACAACCCGGAGAACAAGGCGAGGCTGCTCGCCGCCGGCGGGATCGACGCGCTCATCGCGCTTCTCCCGTCCAGCGATCCGGCCACCGTGGAGCACGCCGTGACTTCGCTGCTCAACATGTCTTTAACGGAAGGCGTCGAGCCGTTGATTACCTCCGCCGGCGGAATAGAGGCCATCGTGCCAGTTCTCGACACCGGGTCGCCCGCGGCTCGGGAAAACGCAGCCGCAGCTCTGTTCTCGCTGTCTGGACCCATGGAGAACAAGTGCAAGGTGCGCGACGCTGGAGCGATCCCGTTCTTAATCTCCCTGCTGCAAACCGGCAGCCTGCGCGGGAAGAAGGACGCGTCGCTCGCGCTTTTCAATCTCTCCCTGGAGTCCTCGTGCGTACGCGATATAATCGCCGCGGGGGCCGTGAAAGTCCTCGTGCAGCTCTTAACGGACGCGGAGCCGGGCATGGAAGACAAAGTCATGGCTGTCATTGCGAACCTGTGCAAATCGGCGGAGGGACGGCAGTCGGTGCACACGGAGGGCGGCATCGCCGCCATGGTGGACGTGATCGACGGCGGGTCGTCGCGCGCGAAGGAGGACGCGGCGGTCGCGCTGCACCTGCTGGCGACGAACAGCGAGGCGTCGTTCCAGCTGCTGCTGGAGGAGGGAGCCATGCCCGCGCTCGTGAAGCTCGCGCAGTCGGGCTCCGGGCGCGGAAAGGCCAAGGTGCGTTGTTGTTGGGTGGATGGATGGGACGGGCCTATTCGGCAAGCGCCTCAAATCAGACGCTTGAAAGCGGAAGCGCGATTTGATATGTGTGACGAGTGCATCGGATGGATATGGGTCGGTCCTAAAAATAGATGCTAAATACAATGATGCTCCTCAAGAATTGAATCATGACCGAGGCAACGCCGAGGAGCGTTGGATGGTGTTGTGAGGCGCCTCGATAATAGACGCTTTAAACCGGAGGCGCCCCCTAAGGAATAGGCTCTACTCGAGGCATTGCTGAGGTTCGTGGATGGATGGGAAGAGCGAATCCTGTTGTTGATAGGCGTTGTGCGTGGTGGGGCGACTGGAATGGAGTGTGGATGGTGGTTAGGATGGAACGGACGATACGAGGGAGTGAAAGAAGACTGAGGTTAGGGAAGAAAAAAGAGATTTCAGCGACTTGTGTATATGCTTTGGCGAGTTTACTTTTAATATATTCTCCAGAGAAAACGAAGTGCATGGCAAGCAGAGTGAAAGTACTAGTCAGAGGCATAACTGTTTTTTCCCTCCTACCATTTTATCTATCCTGCTCCAAAATGCTCTGGTCAACCTTGCCTGGCCAATCCTCCCTGGAACAACCCACTCTTGTGTTATTGTCCTCTCCTCAATGTCTCATGGTCACCTGCAAAACGCAATGCTGGCTCTCCTGGCATTGACGGCAGCAGAGTACTGTGTTTTCTCTTTCTTTTTTTGCTTCCATGTGAAGCCTTTCGCTTTGGAAAATAGCTATAGGATGTTGAGTGGCCGTGCACCCATGTTTTTGTATTTCCGCGCGTCGCATGGCTGTGTGCTTGAATCGGCTCTATCTCTCCACCTTCACTTCCGCTCATGTTCCCCCCTCCACTCTCTCTCCATTTGTTTCCGCATGTCTTCTTTTCCCCGTTTCCCTCCCTCACCATTTGAGTCTTCAACCTTGTCAATGGAGTTCCAGAAGCAATATGTTGGCCTTCTCGCCTGCTGCTCCAACCCCTCTTCCTTTCACCACATGTCCCTTCTCTCCCTTCCCTCCTGGCCACCTCCCTCAGTCAATCCCCTGCCTAAACTCAAAGCACTTTCTCCCATCCCTCTCATCACCTTCCCACCCCCACCCCCACCCATTGTCCCCTCCAGGCGAAGGCCTTGTTGGATCTGCTGCGCGGCTATGCATCGGCCAACTCTCAGAGCTTCCGCCACTCGGGGTCCTTCAATGGGTCGTATTCGCAGACGTTTGACAAGCGCCCGCCCATGCAGGCTGGCGAGATCAGAGACAGGGGGCTCACGGGCGAGCTTAGGTGAGGGCAGTGTTGCTGGACGGCAGAGGCGAGGCAGGAGGGGGTCGGGGCGGGAGGGTCTTGAAACACAGGAGAAAGGGGGAGGGGTGGGGTTATAGTGAATAAGTGGAATATAGTATTGTTCAAGTGCACGGACAGACTGGGGTGGGGAGGGGAGGTGGAAGGGAGGAGAAGGGGGGTTGTTGGGTGGGAGGGAGAGGGGGAGGGAGTTGGGTCTGCTGTTCACCTGCTGGGCTATCTATGAGAGTCCATGAGATGGTTGAGAGGGAGTGGGAAACGGGTCTAATTGCTGTGAGAGCTGCAGTAGGTACTGCAAGAGTAAGTGGGGCTATGTAGCGAGAATGGGGAAAGGAGTCCAGATCTGTGGGGAGGATTCCATTTGGAGTGGAATAGTGGGGTGGTGAAGAGGATATGTATGGCGAGAAGGGGACAAGGGAAAGGGGCAAAATAGTGGAGGGAGTGGGGGAGGGAGGGCCGGTGCGTGGGGGATTGCTGCTTCAACAATACTGTTTGTAATAAGGCTGTTGGTGGCTATGATATGGTCAATGAAGTGTGGAAGAATGGGGAACAGAAAGAAGCTGCAATGGAGCTGGTGCAGTTTCTTTGAGGTGTGATATGAGAAGGAGGGGGGGGGGGGGGGGGGGGGGGGGGGGGGGGGGGGGGGGGGGGGGGGGCTTGGTCTGGGCACTGAGGCAATCACGTGACAGAAACCATAGCATTTGGACTAATGCAGAAGCTTGGGCATCATGGAGTATGGGGGGCTGCAATCAACAGTTTTCTTGAGGCCGGCATGCTTGGGGAAAGGGAGGTGTCTCTGTCTCTCTCTGTTCTGCATTATTCATGCGGGTGCTTTTATATCTCTATGGCCTATATTGGGCACCTTGGCCAACATTCATGTTCCTTTGACTGTAGGATGATACTGCTGACTTTTCCTGCACTGTGACACTGAGCTGCAATCTTGGGATTTCTAAAAATAAGGGAATTCAATCTCGAAGTTGCTGGTTCAGTGATAGTTTTACAGGGGAAACAGAATGATGGTCGATCCATCAACGTGCAGTTTGTGGCGAGCACAACACCGACCGCTTCCTCTGGCCGGAGCCAGCCAACCAAAGGTGCCAAAACGTTGTGGTTCCTGCTCGAGACGAGCCGCGCACGAATCAAACCGTGGGAAACGGTATGGTGTATGGTTTGGGAGGCGGGGAAACTGCTGATTCGGTTCGATTTGGGTGAAATGAAATGGGAACAACACGAGGCTCGGAGGAGCCTGGCGCCTTGGTATTGTCGCGTCGTCACGTCAGTCACAAAACCGCATCATGCTGCTCCAACCTTACCTGAGCCAACTTAACCCTTCCAAACTCCACACCACACTCGATTCAAGACCAACGGAACCCCCAAGCCAGAAACGTTTGCTTCCCTCCCTCCCTCCCCCACACGAGAACACTTCCTTGCTCAGTTGCTCGTTTGCTGCTTCTGTCTTCCTGATTCAGCATCCAGAAGAAGCCAACTGTTACTAAGCTTTTTGCGTGGCTTCTGTTTCTCGTTTTCTGACAATAGAGTAGCAGGGGTCTTTCCTCGTGTCCCGATTCTTCGCAATTGGAGCTCTGACGTGCCTGAAGAACGCTTGCTGAGTCGTTCATAGTTAAGTGACTCGCTTTGGCAGGATAAAGCAGGGTGAACAGTAGCCTTCAAAGCTAGAGCCGATTCGAGATTTCACCTCCTTAGTATCTCTTTAGTATTCTCCTGCTCTTCAGTACCGTCCATTCCTGAAACATCCTCCAGCTGCCCACAGGTCCCGCTGGTGAAGGCACGAGCTACCCGCGTTCACTTTCCGCGGCGCGTGAGAACGAGCGGCGCTCAGGGAATTCCTGCGTAGCCTGATCGTCCGCGCGGCTGATTTGTGATGGGTTGCCCGTTGTCGTGCTTTGCGTTCGACGATGATGTTCCCGATCCTGGCGCAGGTATGTTCTGCAGGTACGTTTTGCAGGTACGTTTTGCAGGTACGTTTTGGGTGAATCACCCGCACCAGCTGCTGTAGCCGCGTCGGTTGAGTTTTCTAGTCGACTCGACTCTGAAGTTCAACTGTATGCGGTTCTGAATTCTGGTGCTCCTATCAGCTGAGGTATTTCTATTCATGGCTCTTTTCTTCTGTCGAACCGTGGCCGCCTTCCCCCCACCCACCCTTCCATCCACTTGTTGCTCTCCGCTGTCCGTTTGGTCCGTACCTCACCCCTCCTTTCTCTCATGTTCCCTTTTCTTTATTACTCATCCACCCCCGTTTCCCCCTCCCCTTCCCTCTTCCCCACTCCCCCTCCCTCTTCCCCTCTTCCCCACTCCCCCTCTTCCCCTCGTCACCCCCGCTCCCGTTCCAACCTCCGCCTCGGCACAGCCATCCCCGCCTATCAGGCACAATCCCAACCCGCGATCGCGGCTGGCCCGCAACGGTCGTCGCAAATAACCGTGCCGCGGCAGTCCATAGACGATTTCAAGGCGGCAACGGACAACTTCGCGCCAGGCAACATGCTAGGCGAGGGGTCGTTCGGGCGCGTGTATCAGGGCTCGCTCAACGGCCGCACCGTGGCGGTTAAGAAGCTCGAAGCGAGCTCGCAACCCGACAACGAGTTCCTAGAAGGGGTGCGTTTGCGGGGTGGGGGAGTCTAGTTTTGAGGCGCCTCAAACCCAGAGCTCGCAACCGGACAAGGATTTCCTAGAAGGGGTGCGTTTGGGTGAGGGGGAGAGTGTGAGGTGGCGGGCGGGAAGAGGGGTGGGAAAGGGAAAGAGGAGAGGAGGTTGGAGGCGATGCTGGACTCACAGCGAGTTTTTTGGGTGGCCCTTTTTTTTTGTTCTTTGACCAACCTCGTTCGCGATCGCGTGTCATCCTCCCTCACTCCACCCACCATCGTCCCCCAACACTCCTCACCGCTCACCTCACCCCTCTCTCCTTTCAACTCTCACCACGCGCAGGTGGCGACGGTGAGTCAGCTGCAGCACGAGAACGTGACGCAGATGATCGCCTTCTGTGCGGACGGCCCTCAGCGCGCGCTGGCCTTCGAGTACGCCATCCACGGCAGCTTACACGACATACTTCACGGTGAGTGGCTTTCCTGGTCAAAATATTCATTGCACGATGGGAGAGGGACGAGGTGGAAAAGGAAGTGGGGAGGAGGGGGAGGGGAGGGTGGAAGCAGAGGATGCCTAGAAGGGCCTACAAGCAAGCGAACACCCCTCAACAAAGCTAGCCTTTTGTTACAGTCATTGCCACGTAAGGACATGTCACCTAGGTGGTGTTCACTCGGTATTTGGAGATTTCGTGGAAGGCAATGGACTGGGACAGCAGCAGGTCCGGATCTTCAATGTGTACGTGCCAAATTTAGCCCTTCTTTTCCTCGTTCCCCTCATTCCGTCCGTCAATCCGTCCATCTGTCCCTCCCTCCAACCGTCCCTCCCTCCAACCGCCTTTCCCTCCAACCGTCTTTCCCTCCCTCGCCCCTCCCTCCCTCCCTCCCTCCCTCCCTCCCTCCCTCCCTCCCTCCCTCCTCCCTCCCTCCCTCCCTCCCTCCCTCCCTCCCTCCCTCCCTCCCTCCCTCCCTCCCTCCCTCCCTCCCTCCCTCCCTCCCTCCCTCCCTCCCTCCCCCTCCCTCCCTCCCTCCCTCCCTCCCTCCCTCCCTCCCTCCTCCCTCCCCCCCCCTCCCTCCCTCCCTCCCTCCCTCCCTCCCTCCCCCCCTCCCTCCCTCCCTCCCCCCCTCCCTCCCTCCCTCCCTCCCCACCTCCCTCTTTCCCCCCCTCCCTCCCTCCCTCCCTCCCTCCCTCCCTCCCTCCCTCCCTCCCTCCCTCCCTCCCTCCCTCCCTCCCGCCATTATCACCTCCCCCGCCCCTCAGCATCTTCCTCCATTCAATACTCTCACCCGCATTCCCTCCCGCCCGCTGTCCTCCTTGCGACCTGTGCGCCCAGGCCGGAAGGTACCGCGCAAGACAGACGACCCGCCCATAACCCTCACATGGCACCAGCGAGTGAAGGTCGCCCTGGGAGCAGCCAAGGGTCTGGAGTACCTACACGAGAAGGCCAACCCGTCTCTGGTGCACAAATCAGTCAAGTCTGCCAATGTGCTCGTGTTTGAGGGGTTTGAGGGCAAGATTGCGGATTTCAACGTGGCGAACGAGGCCCCGGATCAAGGGTCTCGCATGGTGTCGACACGCGTGCTCGGCACGTTCGGATACAACGCACCCGAGTGAGTAGTTGTGTTCCGATTGGTTTGGCCTGCTGCAGTTTAGTCAACTGTCAGCTGGATCAGACTCCCATCTGCAGCCTCCTCCTGGTCTGAAATTCCGAACTCTCCTCCTGCTCCCTACTCTACCCACTCCCAGTGTACCCAACACACTCCCAGTGTACCCAACACACTCCCAGTGTACCCAACACACTCCCAGTGTACCCAACACACTCCCAGTATCTCTTCTTTCTCTTCTCTCGCTCTCACCCTTCTCACTTCTCACTCGTCCACCTGAATCCGTCGGTTCCGGCAGGTATGCCACGCTGGGTCGGCTAACGCAGAAGAGCGATGTGTACAGCTTTGGAGTGGTGCTGCTAGAGCTGCTCACAGGCCGCAAGCCAGTCGACCCCAACATGCCCCGAGGCCAACAGTCGCTCGTCACATGGGTGCGCGGGTGGTTGGGTGGGTGTGCGGTTTTGCCAGTGCACACTCTTGTATGCATAGTCTGTACAGCTTTGGAGTGGTCACAGGCTGCAAGCCAGTCGACCCCAACATGCCCCGAGGCCAACAGTCCCAACATGCCCCGAGGCTTACAGTCGCTCGTCACATGGGTGCACGGGTGGGTGGTTGGTTGTGTGAGTGCGATTGCGCATGTGCATGCTCGATTGTGTGCGTAATGTGTACAGCTTTGGCGTGGTGCTTCGAGAGCTCCTCACAGGCCGCAAGGCAGTGGACCCCAACATGCCTTGAGGGCAACAGTCACTTGTCACATGGGTGGGTGGGTGCTCGTTTGTGCAGGTGCAAGCTTGTGTGTGTGCAGATATGCCCGTGTGTCCTTGACAATGCCCCCCCCCCCCCTTCCGTTCACTTGTAAGCTTTCCTCGTTCTCCTCCTTCCTGCCCTTACTCCCGGTTTTTGTTTGTGGGACCGGGTTTATTGGATCAATCCCTTGCACCATGGGCTCCTTTTGGTACAAAATCATGTTGGCTTGGATTCTTGACATGGTGTGACTGGATGGCATGGTGCGAACTCGATGTCATGGCATGGTCGTGCACATGTGCAGGCAACACAAGGACGATTGGCGGAGGATAGAGTCAAGTCATGTGTGGATCCCAAGCTTAAAGGCAACTTTCCGGAAAAATCCGTAGCCAAGGTTAGTGTGTGGGAAATGGGTGTGGACGGAATTATTCTTTTTTGGGGGGGGGGCACTGGTGCTTGGAAGCCAGGACAGTCTTCTTCCACGGGCTCATGTCCATCCACAAGCCTCTGTTGCTCATTGTTAACATCCCCTAAATTGCACTCTTTTTCTCCCTGCATGCCCCTCTTTTTTGTCCCCCTTTTGCAGTTTGCAGCCCTAGCAGCCCTGTGTGTGCAGTATGATGCTGACTTCCGGCCTAGCATGAGCATTGTGGTTCGATCACTTACACCACTTGTAAGAGACTCTGCTCCACAAGATGCATAGCAGACGAGAGAGAAGGGCTTGATGACTTGTATTTTACAAGCCAATACAGAGGTATAGAAGGAGCATAGGATTTGTTTTCAATCTAGGTGGCAAATAGCATGCAAGTAGTTGGGCGATAGTATAATCCTTTCCTAGTCCATATTGTATCATCCCCTTTCTAGATGCTGCTCAGAACCTAAATTTTGACCTTTAGCGTGTCAATGTGCCAGCCAGCCAGCCAGCAGTTGTATTTGGCATTGTCAGTGGTCGCTGGTCATTATACACCAAGGATTCCAATCTTCAGCAAGGAGTATATCAATGGATGTTCCGTAGCTGCTGTCCATGGGCATAAAAGCTCAACCCTCTTCCATGGCATGCGACTCAGGGTGGACAACAATGGCCACCCCCCTTTGTAGCGCGACGCGGCACACCTTTTCAAAGAAGAGAGAAGTGTCAGAATAGTAGCCTAAGTAGACTAGGGTTTTGGGGTAAGAGAGTAGCGAGAGAAACGGAAGAAGAGAGGGGTTTACACTAATGAGCAAGATACATGATATAGTTCAAGGGAAGGTGAGCACAGTGGTGCACCACCAAATAGTTAAGAACAATAACTGCAGTAACTACAGCACGCAGGATATATATTAAACATAACTTTGACAAGAAGAAGCTTTCCGCATCGGTTGAAGTTGTGTTGATAAAATGCGGATTGCCAGTTTATGAGCCTCTCTTCATAGTATAATTTAAATCGTATCTTAAGGAGAATTACATTGTAAAGTAAGTGCTGTGCTGGCGGATGGTGAGTTTCTTATGTCCAACTTAGACTTTTCATCAATTTTCACCAAAGCAGTACTAAAATTGTAAGAGCTTATATGTACCGTAACACACTCCACCTCTTACCATAATGGGGTGATGACACCACCACCACCGAGGGACCGTGTTGGAGTTGAACAGGTTGAGTGGAGCTGTCTCCGACAGTCGCAGGCGGGCACTCAAAAATTTTTGCTCCCACCAAGCATTCGTCTCCGGTCCGGTGTACTACAAACAGACCGTTGCCGCCTATTGCCACCTATGCGGCATCCTTTCCTCCTGCGTGCTTGCTGACACAAAACGGCAAAGAAAGATATCGCCGGAAACGCGTCGCGTTTTTTTTTTTTTTCGAACGGATTGGGTTTGCTCACACGAGCAAAACAAAGTCGAATGTTTCATTTGCGATTCGCCTGTCGAAACGAAGAGGTGCCAAACAGCACGAGCGACCAGACGAAATGTTGGGCGGGTACTTTTCCACGCCTATTAGAATTTTTGGTAGACGGCGGGCGTCGCATTCGCATCGCATCGAACAAATGCTTTCGCAGGACGAGTCGCATTCGAGGCCCCCAATGTTGGGAATTTCTCAACACATTCACCACCTTGCAGATCCTCCTCTTTCCCTACCATCCGTCCGTCCCACCATACAAATTCAGCTCGAAACAGAAAACTTCAGCTGAAAACGTGCCTTCAACATCATCGATTGTCTATGAGTCCTCTTCAACATTTCGTTGAAGCGTCTGAACGCCATTCGTGCATTGCATAATAGTTACTCCTGGTCTGAGCTCGATTTGCGTATTGGCTATACGTACTTGCAGAACGACACCGTCGCTTGATATATCCTCCCTGCAAACATGACGCCACTACAATCACGATGCTTTTCCATATCCCAAATCCGTGTAGGAGCTCTCCTCGTGCTCCAGATGCTCGTATCCTCCACCCTACACGCCTCCGCTCAGTACAAGTTCGACAGCCTGCCAACACAGGACGCGCCGATTAAAGACAAACGCTGGCACTTTGGCAGCGCCACGTTTTACGGAAACGACATGCTCGTAGGCAACTCCGGGAACTGCGGGTATCCGTACAGCTTCGTAAACAACCGCACGCAAGTCGCGGTGCCGGATCCGCGCTGGTCCAACACACTCACGTCCGGCATCGGCAACTTCAAGGGCGCGGCGTGCGGGCAGTGCTTCATGGTGAAATGCCTCTCGAAGCCGCGGTACGCCGGAAAGGTCTTCTGCCGAAGCAAGAAAGCGGTAATGGTGACGATAACAAACTTCGACACGCCGCGGTCCGAGGGCTGGCCCAACAACCACTTCGACTTCCACCGCACCGGATTCGAGAAGATCGCGGATCCGGACTCGGGCATTGTGAACGTGATGTGGCGCAGAACGCGCTGCCCGAAAACCGCGCCGAAGTACACGGTGAAGGGCAATCCCTACTGGCACGACATAACTGTTTACGACGTGCCTGGGGTTGGCGCCATCACTGGCGTATGGGTGAAACGCGCGGGGAGATCGGATTGGGAGGCGGCGAGACACTCGTGGGGAGCGCATTGGGTGGTGACGGGGAAGGTCGACTGGGACAGCCGTAAGACGAAGGTGCGCGCGCAGGTTGCGGAGTCGCGGCGATTCATCTATCCCGCTCGAAAGCAGGCGTATTAGGAGGTCGGTGACATGATAATACTAGTTTGCCTCTCAAGATTGCTTGAGATTTATATATAGTTACGGTGCTAAGCATGTAATTAGGAAGGTTGGTTGGGAGTGAAAACGTGATTGGCCCGCGAACGTTGGGGGTGTCGAGATTGTTGAGAATGTTCGTGAACTTGCGCAGGTTCGCCAATGTTACCAGGGTTGGCCTGGTACACACATCAGTCGCAGAGAGTCTAAACCGACACCTCACAGCAACCTGACTCACAACCCCATTTCCCAACACCACGTCACCTCATTGTAGTATAGGAGACAGTACCTTTTTTTCGCCTGAAGGGTCCTGGCTTCCCTCTCCCGTGTTTGAAGTTGGCTCTCTTGGACACAGGGTTACACCCAACCAACCTTAGGAACCATGAACCAATTTCGCCCTTCTTGACCCACGGGTTTTAAGCATACGAAAGTGCAGGCATCATACATTTTCGTAATAACTAGCGGTACTGTTCGACAGGCAGGCCCCTCCTTGGAGGGCTAGGGTTAGGCTAGAGCTAATAGGAGATTTCCGTGAAATTTCTCCAAGACCCCCCCCCCCCCCCCCCCCCCCCCCCCCGCCACCAAATCGGAAGCAGCGCGTCCCCTCGTCGGAAGGAGGGGGTCGTTATGGCGATGTTTCAACCCCTCCTTCCACCATTGGGATCGTGGGCAGGGTAAAAAATTACCCAGTGATCGCATGGGAACCTGGGTAACCCAAGGGAATAAAAGTGAGATTGGTGCGTGGCTGGTGACTGGTTTGGTTGAGCAGGGGAGGGGACATTTTCAGGGCAGAGATGGGAGGGGCTTGGGCACGGGCTCTGGTTGGAAAACATTCGTAGGGTACCGTATTCCCCCGGATAAAACACCCGGGGGTATTATGATAAATACCGGGAAAAAATGGGGGGGGTCTCCTCAACGGAAAGTCCTACATAATACCCGGGTCTTATTATATAGTACATACTTTTTAAAAGCAGAATCGATGTGTTTCAAAATGTGGTGTGTGACTTCACTTCTTGTTTGTTAAACAGTGCCGCAAAACCGAGTATACGAGGATAACGTGACCGCCCACTGGACTCTGCCACATGGCAACTTCCAGTGGGCTAACTATGGACCCTGATTGGCTGGAAACAGAGCCAGCCATGCATAGCGAGAGTTCATGCAACTCCCGAGGCCGGAATCGCGCACGAAGCGGCGTTGTCACTGTACCATTCAAGGTCTACTTGCTGTGTGCTGCTCATCAATGGTAGATTGTACCTCTAACTGTGTGAAATGTGACCTAAAATTGCACTTTTGCCGCACATAACACCCACCCCCCGGGTCTTATATAGGATCACCCCAAAAGGGGGGGTATAGTACCAACGGGGTCAAATATAACACCCCCCCCGCACAAGCTACCCGGGGGTGTACAATTCGGGGTGGGTGTTTTATCCGGGGGTATACTGTATGCGGTGGGTTTTCCCTCCCGAACGAAACCCTAGCCTAGCTCTTGGCCGAACTCCATCCTGGGGCTTGGAGGGCTGGGCTAGAGCTAGGCTAAACTCTACGTGAAGGGGAAGGGGCTGGGAGCTTTCGGGGGGGCTGAACTTGGAGGGTTAACGTCACGATCGACAGGCTAACCCTTAACACTTCGTGCTACCTGCGTTAAAGCCCAAAAACAGCAGATTGCGGGCTGACCGGTGAAAAAAAAACCCAAGTCGAAACAGCCGCGATGGTTCCGCGGAAGGGTTTGCGTGCCTGTCGAGCAGGGCCAGCAAGTCAATCATCCGTGCCCAACCCATGGCGCGTCAGTTCACACCTGAATGCTGACCACTATATCGAAACGAACCAAAACCAATTGCTTCCTATGAAAGAGATATCTGTAGTTGGTACACCTGCGCAGTATCTCTAGTACTTATATCCATGCATGCACATGTGACTAAAGAAGCCATTTGAAAGTGTCATAAACTTATTCTTGTTCTGAAATTCGGTACCAAATGGCGACGCTGTGTTTCGGGTGCGTCGCGTGGTGGGTCATTGTTCAAAATGGCCGGCCAATCAAATACTAGTTTCGCACCCCGCTCGTTGACATTTGATTGGTCTATTTCGACCAATCACCAACACTAACACATGGCAAAATATCTGAATACACGTGGACGCGGTGCGTCCACTTGGCATGTTAACTAATATATGATGAGAACATCACTTCACGCGACATTACAATATGACATTCTGTATGACATTTGCTCACACCAATATGAATTTTTTGTTACATCGTAGGTCACATCAGGGCCGGTACTTTCTGTCAGAATGAACGGCAGGAATGAATGAACTATGACAGGGTTTGGTACAAGTACTAACCCTAAACTGGGTTGTACCCCATATAGGCTACCCCACTACAGCCTACACAATACAATGTTTTGACACACCCCCATAGGCAAGGTGGGGGAGCACAAGTAGTCGCATACAAGCAAAGCAAGCTCAGGGTGGATCACAAAGTCACCACACATTCTGAGCACAAGCAAAAGGCCACAAGGCCAGTCCACATGCAGAGTTATATAAAACAAAACAAGCGGTACAGTGATCACAAAAAGCAAATGTAAGCATGCAAGGATATATATAGATCACAGTACAAGCAAAGTCAAGCAGTGAGCAAGTGAGAGAACGTAGGCACGAGGCCTAGAGCAGTGCAGTGACGCTGATGATCACTAGGCGGAAGTGCCTTGGTGAATATATCAGCTGTGTTGGCCCGCGTGTCCACGTAAGCAAGACGAAGCTGGCCACGCTGCTTGAGCTCTCGAGCGAAAAAAGTAACGCAGAGCGATGTGCTTCGTCCTGTGCTCCAGTCTGTGCTCCTGACACAAGGCGAGGGCCGCCTTGTTGTCGCCGTACAGAACTGGAGGAGAACGAGGCCGCTCTCCCAAGTCAGTCAGCAGGTAGGTGAGCCAGCGAAGCTCCTGTGCAGCCATGGCTGTGGCGTAGATCTCAGCTTCACAACTGGAGCTGAGAACAGAAGAAGAGTGGGTAGACCGCCCAGAGACAGAGCCAGAACCAAGGCTGAAGGTGTAACCCTGTGACGACCGCTGCGTAGTCAGGTCGTCAACCCAAGAGGCGTCTGAGTGTCCAGTGAGGACAACGTCACCCCGTCCTCCAAGCACCAGCCCCATGCCTGATGTACTGCACAAGTAGCGCAGCACCCTCTTAGCAACCTCCCAGTGCTCTCGCTGGTGTCTCCCAAGTGCAATATAGCGAGCTAGGATGCTAAGAGGGTACGCAAGGTCGGGTCGAGTGCAGGTCATCAGGTACATGAGGCAGCCCACAAGCTCTGGGTACGGGCCATTCGGCTCTACGGACTCGTCCGAAGGTGGAGCTGAGAGCGAGTGACGTGTAGACAGAGGAGTGGACTGTGGTGAGGAGTACTGGAAGTCGAAGCGTTGAAGGATCTGCTGCATCATCTGTGACTGGGTAAGGGTAATGGTTCGGTGTGCTCTGTCCTGGGTGATCTGCAAGCCAAGGTAGCTGCGCAACTCACCCAGGTCTGTGCACGTGTGTCTCTTCTGCAGCTACGAATTCACAAGGGCGAGGGACTCAGTGTCAGTAGTGGCAAAGACCAAGTCGTCGACGTACACGAGGATGTAGAACGGTGGCAGCGAAGTGTCGGTGCGAAGAAACAGCGACGGGTCAGCAGTGGAGGGAGCAAACCCAAGAGCCGCAAGTGTCGTCCTCAGTGTGTCGTGCCACTCACGAGGCGCCTGGCGGAGACCGTAGACTGGCTGCCGGAGGCTCCACTGGGTACCAGGAGGGAACGACCCAGTGAAGCCAAGTGGGCGGCGCAGCCAGATCTCCTCGTGCAGGCTGCCCTGCAAGAAAGCTGTGCTGAAGTCAAGAGAGTGAAGCTCGTAGTTACGCTGAGCGGCAACGTGCAGCAGTACCCGAAGAGTGGTCATCTTCAGGGTAGGGGAGAAGGTCTGGAAGAAGTCAACTCCCTGCCGCTGACTGAAGCCTCGTGCAACGTAACGAGCCTTGAAGACAGGCGGAGAACCCGACGGCCGCTTCACCCTGAAAATCCACATGCCATCGACTATGTTCGCCCCAGGAGGGGGAACCTCGTCGACGTAGGTGCCTGTGGACTTCCAGGATGCCATCTCTGCGTCCATGGCTGTCTGCCACTGAGAGGAGTAGGGACCCTAGATTGCCTCTGCGTAAGAGCGCGGGGTCGGGATGTCCAGTGCATCTGGGTCTCCCTCAAGTGCGAGCAGCATGGCCACGAGATGAGGCGCAGCGGCCGCAAGACACTCAAAGTCCTCCTGCCTGTCCTCAAGGACGTCCGTGCCAAGAGCACACTCACCCCCGACGGACGGAGGACAGACAGACTCAGACTCTGCAACAAGACTGGCGGCGTAGTCTAGACGACACGCAGCAGCAAAGTTGATAAGCTCAGCAACTAAGGCAGACGCATCAGTGGACTCAAACGACGGGTCTGTGACAGTAGTAGGCAGGAGGCACGTGACAGTAGGGCTGCCAGCACAAACGCGGTCAGACTCAGGGACAAAGCTCAGCCACGGCAAGAAGAACGGTCGCTGCTGCACAGTACCTCTAGCTCCAGCACCTCCAGCGCCTCCAGTGCCAGCGCCTCCAGTGCCAGCGCCTCCAGCTCCAGTGCCCCCAGCTCCAGTAGCGCTGCGTTGGAGGCGAGTGCGCTGAGCTAGCCACTCGCGCAGCTGCTGTGGTGAGAGGGGCTCCCGCTGGGGAGACCGCTGATGTGAGGCACCCGGAATACCACCAGTAGACTCAGCTCCACCAGGCTCAGCACCCCCAGAAGTAGCTGAACCACCAGCCCCGGCAGCTCCAGTACCTCCAGTACGAGCACCTCCAGGACCAGCAGCTCCAGTACCTCCAGATTCAGCAGGACCTCCAGCACCTCCAGGACTAGCAGCTCCAGGACCTCCAGCTCCAGCACCCCCATGACGAGCACCTCCTAGACCAGAAGTGCCAGCATCACCAGCACC